AAAAAAAGTGAACTCTTTAGCGTCAACTTTTTAGCGGCCTTTATTTTCTACCGGTGTGGATCAGAAAAGCTTCATGGAGCCATGTGCCATGATCACGCCGAGGTGCAGGACCGGAATAAGAGGACGGCGGTCTCAAAGGTGGCGGCCCCGGAGAAGACGACGCACGCGGGGAGAATGAAGGGGAAATTGCCTTGTGAGCGCCAGGCCAGGTCCAAGCAGTTCCCGGGAATGTCAGCCACAAACGTGATGAGGCGCCACACGGCCGCCAGGTAGCACTGCGCCTTGGTCACCAGTCCTGTAGGTCAGCGCCAGCGACTCAAAATCAAAAGGATTCCCACATCTTAATCAGCGCGTTAAATGTATTTTTAAGTTTCTGTGCAAATGTTCGCGCTGATTTGAACGTACAATTAGTTTTGTATGAGCTTGTGCGCAAGAAATGCATAAAAATAATCGAAGTAACGCAGGAATGTGTGCAATATTGGCTTACACTGTTTTATTGGCGATGATGAATACCTTTTTTTGGCAATGAACGGTGCAAAGGCAATGTGACAAAATTAATACCTTTCCAGCGGCAAGGAGTCGGTCAGTGCCATCCCAAAGGCAGTATCCATTGCCAATTTTGGCAATGGTTGGAAAAAAATATCTAAGTTCTCCTTAAACTTATTGGCAATTCGAACCCTGCCGCACTGCCGGCAGTGAAATTTCATCGTCACATTTTGGCAATGAAGCCTTCATCGACAGATTTTTGGCGATGAACCTTTAATGCCAATATTTTGGCGATGAATCTTCACTGCCCACACTTCGCCAGTGTTCAAACTGCTAATAACAAAGAAGAACTTTGAAAAATTATTTCCGCTTTTTGCCAAAATTAGCAATGAACACAGCCTGTGGAATGGCAATGACCGACTCATATTGCCGCTTGACAGGTATTACTTTTGTCTCATTGCCATGGGCTTCTTATTGCCACAAAAGGCAGTATACTTTCATTGCCTTTGGAGAAACAGTGTGATTCCATACGAATGAAAGATACAAATCCAGTTAATGTGAACTATCCAGTTACACGGGAGAGATACCTGTGGTGACGGGAGTCAGCGCTTCACGGGTGCGGCGGTCTAAAGCGCTCCCCTCCTGCAAGCAAAACGGGCTACGATTTGTTGTGTCTGTGATTTCAGGCGAATTCTCCGCGATGGGCGTGCGGTGTGTGATTGGGCGCGCTCGCTCCACGCTGTGGGTACGGGAGGGTACCCATTAGAGCTCTACCAGCTGCTGGTGCGCCGACGCGGAAGGATCACCGCACTTCACGTAAATGTGCCCATCCACGTCCCGCAGCAGAGGTTTTGCCTTGTTTTCCAAGATTAAATTTGTTTATATCCAACCTGCTGGGCAAGTGCTGCAGCTGCGAGAACGACGAGGATGATGAGAGCCGACTTCATTGCGAAAGCTTGGAGCTGCGCGTCAGAAGTGAAACGATCCCATCAGCGACAGCGATCACCCTGCCCAGGAGAGGTAGCTGTCTTTTTCTGGGTCTCAAGGTCAATAACTGAATGTCTCAGATTTGACAAGACACTTACGATAAGCTCGCAGTCTATCTGTCTTGTTGAAGTGTGTTGCGGTTACTTCAGTGTGTGTGCCTCATGCAGAGATGAAAAATTAAGACTTTTCATAATTCGGGAAATTAAGACTTTTCATCTTTTTTGTTGTTTGTCATTCACTCCTGGATGCCGAAACCGCAATCAATGTAGAAACACTGGAGAAGGTGTGTGTAAAATGATGGGCTTGAGTTTAAATCCTATGAGAACTTTCTTCGAATATTAACTCCTTCATGGATATTTCTGGCAAAGACCAATTGAATTTCCAGTAAAAAGAACATAACACGTTTTGTATTGTTCCTAGCTAAAACCGTCGGTGAAGAAGTAAAAATTCGGAGGAAGTCCTAATGGGATTTAAACTCATTCACACCGTTTTACGTGTGCTCCAACCGTATCTTACTAAAGTGTTTGCATTCACTAGTAAATGACAAAAAACCCGAGAAGGAACAAAACCTTAATTTTCCATCCCTGGCCTCATGGTCTCGCTCCGGAGCCCCTGTGGGAGTTGGCATGAGCAAATCCACGGCGCTCACCCAGAAAACCGATTTCTTTGAGGCAACGAAAATTTTCCTTTTGCATATCCATAACGAAATTTTACTGTATCTGAAGAAAATTTCGTTCGACTGATCCGCCAGTCAACGAAATTTAAATTGCCTGAATTGCCACTTGCAAAACATTGATTCAAAGAAATTTCTTTGACTTGAAGAAACGCGAACGCACTTCCGCGCGGCAACAGTTCCGTAGCGAGCAGCGCCACTGTCAACTGGCGTGGTAGCTCAGTGGTCTCCACCTGTGTCAGAGGTAGAGGGAAATTCAGTGCTCAGTGTTTAACAGTAACAGTAATCAGTTTATTTGTAATTCTTCAACAGTCACAACACACACAACACG